CATAAAATAGGAATGTTTCACTTTTTTAGCTGCTTCTAGTATGCATACCTACAGATGTGTTTACATCGAGTTGTAAAACTTTAGCTAAGTGCTGTCAAAGCAAGGACTCAAGTATCATGCTGACATCAGTATTGTGTGTTGCCTTTATGCACCATAGTCCCCATCTTTACACCTTTTGTCCCAGGAACAATCATTATGAATACCCTCAACTGTTAGAGGCCAGTCTTTCCCCAGTATCTCCTTCCAAGGCAGATCAGGACAGGAGGCTTCTAACTGCAGACTTCATCATGTTAAAACTGGCCAGTTAGGTTTTGTGATAAAGTATTGCAAAATAAAGTCAATTCAAATTTATTGTCCATCCAACACAGCAGAGGGAGTTACATCAATTCTACTTTTCAACAGTTTTGAAAAACTGTTCTGATATTCAGGAATAGTCAAATTTGCAAGATATTTTGCACTGCTCTGAATATTGAAAGTCAAGCCTGAATAAATTGAAGAACAGGTAGTTTGTACAGCAGATAAGGAACATAGAAGATCAATGTCCTTGATCTGGTGTGCAAGAGAATGTCTTGTTTGGGAAATACCTTGTGTGGACAAAAAAACTATCAGAAAAACCTAAAATCTGTAATTTACCTCTGATAGCTTTAGACCACTGGCTGTTGTAATTGTCTTTCTGGAAGAGGAACATATATCCTGTTTTAGAGTTTTCATAAACAAGTTTTAACCAGTATATAAATGCCCAGGAACATGCATATTGCAGAAGTTAACATAATGCACTAGTGAAGTTAGAGTACCAGTGTTTAGGGAAATATAGCTTAATGCTAAGAACTTGGTTCCAAAGAGAATCTGTCTCCTTCCTTCCCAATCAAAAGGAGTTAGTTTCATACTCAGAGTGGTTCCTATTACTGGAAGCTGCAGTTGGTCTGTTCTTTTGAACTGATGTTATACCATATGACAGATTATGTTACATCTATCCCCACCTAAATTCACCTGTTCAATGGCATTTCAAACAAAACAAAACAAAAACATGGTCTGGTTCTCATTGGCCTCTTGACTTATTGTTACATCTGCTGGCCTTGGCATTTCAGCTAAGAATTTTGAGTCCACCTCTTCTTCCATTTCTGATTCAGATTCTGAGGTAACAACCTTGAAATGCTGTATTTTGGGAGAAGGAGCCTAGTCCCTACATCAGCAATGCACACACAAGCAATATAAAATCTAGCATTAGGCACTGCCAGAGACCGAAATAGATTTCTGCTGAGAAGTACTGCAGCCCAAGCATGTGCTATAAAACTGAAAATTCAGAGCTGACTCACAGCCAGAGGATCAAAAGCAGGGAGGAAAAAGCTTGTAATCATTATTCAGTCTTCCAGCCAAATACTAAGCATTGCTACCCCACCGCAAACACTCATTAAAAATCATGGAATGCAAAAAAATATATGAAAGTACTTACAATATCATATGCCAAATTGGCATACTGAAGGAACTTTTCAATCAATGAGTCATTTAGCTGAGTAAATCTATACCGGAAAAGATCCATTTCTTGTTGGATAAACCACCGACGAAGTTCCTCCCTGCAGAATAACATTTTATACATGTTAACATTCATTCAGTTTAAAATTAGACTGTAGTCTTCTAGATATACCCTTTGAAAGATAAATTGGTGGGTGCAAAAATTAACCTGCAGTCCTGTCACATTCAAGTTTTTATCATCAGAACTAAGTTCCCTACATAATTTGTTTCTGAATTGCTGTCTTTAAAAAATAATGACAGAGCTCATTTTTGTGTTACTACCCTCTCCCGTATTTCTTTTATCTAGACAAAAGAACCTTCCATACAATAATGACGCCTAAGTTTTTGAGAACATCTAGATACACACTTATTCAGCACTATCCTACTGAGTTCCATTAAAATTGGTCAAAACAAAAATTCCAGAATATTCAGACACCTGAAATAGCTAAAAGAAGCAAAGCAACACAGAGAAACATGATTAACCAATGACACCAATCCAAGAAAGATAGTTAACTGAGCTAATTTCAGCTAAAATTCCATGGGTTCTGAAAAGCACAGGAGAAGAAGTTTGTTTATAGGGTCAAAAAACAGAAAGGTATCAATCATGTCTCTCTCCTCCCATTCAGTCCTCCTGGTGTCAGTTCACCTTGGATCACAGCACCAAGAGAAACATTGCTGTGCAGAGACTTCACATAAACTTGAAATACAGTTGCTTCTCCTCATGCCAAAGGCCGTAACTTTTTAAATCAACATTCTATATTTTTATTGATATCTTACTTTCAACACTGGGTTGGGTCCACAGTTCCCATGAGCAGAGTTCCACTCAGAGGATGCTCCCATTGAGGGAAGGGTACAGAGCATTTTTTTAACAATTCATTCTACCTACAGCCTCTTGAAAAGCTACTCCAGGTAAAGCCTCAGCTGGATATCAGTCATTTCTTCAGACAAAAAGTCCTTTTATTCATGGAAGAACAAGTCTGGGTATGACCCATTATATTGATCCTAACCGCAACACACTAATAGGACAACAATATAAGAAGATGCTGCAGTGAAGTATCTGCCCAGATGTTGGGGAATATTGACAACCCTAATTAAATTTTATGAATAAATAAAAATGAATATATGTCACTATTTAGACAGTATATCCCAGTGAATGCCAACAATCACATTTAAGTCAACTTAACTCTAAGTAGCTCTGAGATTCTAGACATTCAGAAATTCATCAGGGATTGTCAACATTCAGTGTAAAATAAGCATCAGTTCTTTCTGAAGGAAACCAAAAAGTTCTGGTTAGAAACTTAAATAGGTAGAAAGCATCCATTTCCTACAAATAGGCATATCAATGGGTTCAACTGTTCTGAGGTTTGGCTAGTACCTTGGCTGAGTAAGGTACTACTAGAGTTATCAAAGAATTATGATCAGCATCTAACTGGCAATGTTTTACCCTTAACACTGAAACAGTATATCACCAAACATGCCTATTAAAGCCAAGTCACTATTATTTATAAGGCTGGAGACACCAGTGTTGGAGATAAACAGCATATGCAGCAGGGATGCGGGTCCTCCAGTCCATGGGCCTAATCTGCAAGGCACCCTTACGGCCCATGCTACCTCCCAAGATTATCCCAAGGGGTGGGTCTTATGCCCTTGGAGGAAACCCCTTAGATGAGATCCCCACTGTTATCTCCAGTCTGAGATCACAGCTGGGATTCACCTGCTGGGGCACAACAAGCAAGAAATCTCAGATTATGGACAGCAGCATGGATACCCAGAAGTTCGGTTCGGACTTGTCCATGAATGAGTAAGAACAGCTGCTCATTCTCACAGAGATGGCAGCAAGGATGAAAGATGACAGGGACTGTGATTCACTCACACGTGGGGATAAGCAGCTACTATTCCCTGTGCAGACAAGTCCCATACCCAAGCAGCCATACTTTCCTATTGGTATCTCTGATCTCAGAGCACTCTGGGTTTCTCCATGCTGGGAGCAGGCACACACTTGAGAGCCCACTATCGGGCCTATGCTGTGGCGGTGAGGGCGGCAAAAAAGAGGTTTTTTTCCGCTTCCATTGCCTCCTCACAATGCCGTCCGGCGGAGCTTTTTCGAGTGGTGCAAGGCCTGGTTCGTCCAGGTCCTAAGGAAGACCTTATTCCACCCTCAAAGGCCCGCTGTGACGACTTTGCCAGGCATTTCAGGGAGAAAATCGCTCAGATTCGTCACGAGCTGGACACCACTAGTGAATCCGAGGTTTTTGGGGAGACACCAATGCTGCCGTCTGGTCCAGAATTATTGGATGAATTTCAGTTATTGCGGCCCGATGATGTGGACAAGGTGCTTGGACGAGTACGTCCCACCACTTGCTTATTGGACCCTTGCCTGTCTTAGTTAATAAATAATTCCAAGCACGGGATTGGGACCTGGATTTTGGAAGCGATTAACGCTTCTCTGAGGGAGGGTCGGGTGCCTGCCCCTTTAAAAGAGGCGGTAGTCCGACCGGTCCTGAAGAAGGCGTCACTAGATCCAGAGATGGCCACTAACTATAGACCAGTGGCCAACATCCCGTTTCTGGGCAAGGTGTTAGAGCGGGTGGTGGCGGGACAACTCCAAGCACTCTTGGATGAAACTGATTATCTGGACCCATTTCAGTCCGGCTTCAGACCCGGGTACGGTACTGAATCTGCCTTGGTCACCCTGTACGATGACCTGTGCAGGGAGAAGGACAGGGGGAGTGCATCCCTGTTGGTTCTCCTGGACTTCTCAGCAGCTTTCAATACCATCGACCATGGTATCCTTCTGGATAGGCTAGTGGGATTGGGGGTCGGAGGCACTGCTTTGCAGTGGTTCTGCTCCTATCTCAATGGCCGGTTCCAGAAGGTGGTGCTGGGGGGCTATGGCTCTGCACCATGGCAGCTATGCCATGGAGTACCGCAGGGGTCCATTTTGTCCCCTTTGCTGTTCAACATCTACATGAAACCGCTGGGAGAGGTCATCAGGAGGTGTGGGCTGCGGAACCATCAGTACGCTGATGATACCCAGCTCTACCTCTCGTTTTCCACCAATCCAGGTGAGGCAGTGGCTGTACTGAACCGGTGCCTGGCCGAGGTAATGGGCTGGATGAGGGCCAATAAACTGAAGCTCAATCCAGACAAGATGGAGGTCCTGTTGGTAGGCGGTTCCGGCTTCGGAGAAGGTGAATTGAACCTAGTCCTGAATGGGGTTGCACTCCCTCTTAGGGACAAGGTCCGCAGCCTGGGAGTGCTCCTTGACCCGGAGCTTTCACTGGAAGCTCAGGTGACAGCAGTGGCGAGGAGCGCTTTCCTTCAGCTTCGGCTGATGCATCAGCTGCGCCCCTACCTGGAGTACGACTGTCTGGCGACAGTGACACACATGCTGGTGACTTCCCGCCTTGACTTCTGCAACGCGCTCTACGTGGGGCTACCCTTGAAGATGGTCCGGATACTTCAACTGGTTCAAAATAGAGCTGCCAGGCTGCTGACGGGGACTGGGCGTTATGTTCACATGACTCCAGTTTTCCGTCAGCTTCACTGGCTTCCCATTGAAGTCCGGGCCCAATTCAAGGTGTTGGTTATGACCTATAAAGCCCTAAACGGCTTGGGGCCTGGTTACCTGAAGGAGCGCTTACATCCATATATGCCCGCCCGCCCCTCGAGATCTGCGGGAGAGGCCCTTCTCCGGGAACCCTCCGTGAAAGAAATCAGGAGGGTGGGTACTCGGAGGAGGGCTTTCTCTGCGGTGGTGCCTAATCTATGGAATGCGCTCCCCAGAGAGGTCCGCCTGGCACCGTCGTTATTTGTTTTTCGGCGCCAGGCAAAGACCTTTTTATTTAAGCGTCATTTTAACTGTTAATATTATTGGATTTTATCTGGCCAGGGCGACTTATTTTACATTGTTATTTTTTATATTTTAACTTAATGTTTGCATCTTACAAAAATTTTAACTTAATGTTATAACTTAATGTTTGTATTTTAATTTAATGTTGTGAGCCGCCCCGAGGCTTCGGCGAATGGGGCGGCATAAAAATGATTTAATAAATAAATAAATTCTATGTGTCCTTGCAAAAAAAAGAAAAAAAAAAGAGGGCGGATAAAAGGAGAAAGGAAGGGTTGACACTAGGGAATGGGGCCATGTTCCGACATCACCCAGCCTGAAGGTGTTGGGTAGTAAGGCAATCTTGCCTCCATTTCAAAATACTTCTGATATACAAGGAAATGCAAACTTCACCATACTTAAAAGATCCCTGAAATCAATGGGGCTTTGGTTGAGTAACTTACATCTCATTGATATGAACGGGCCTACTCTGACTCTGTATCCAGCCTATGTGGTTTGCAGATGCTGGTTACTGAAAGAAGCTCGTAGGAATATAAAAATTCAATATATTTTTTTAAAAGGATCAGTTGAGTTTTTTCCACAACTGTGCATGTGTTATATAACGAATGGTAAGGAAGCATGAACAATTCAATAACATGTGCCCTTGTTTAAAATTAAGTATTAAATATATGGCAACCGACAAGGTATTCATGGGAAAATGAGTTACCGTATCTTACAGTAAAGTTGAGCTACATTATCAAACAACACTAATGAATAAAACAAAGAATGAAAATACAATCTTTTGCCTCTTGGTGGCACTGCTGAACTGCTGAAAGCTCTAGCAAATGAACAGTTTGGTTTTATTACCAACAAGCTATAACATTCACTGAAAAATAATACCTGAAGTTTTCTTTGTATGAATCACCTCTGAAACAGGATGCAGAATGTAACATTTTAGCTTCAAACCTTTAAAGGCACAATTGTATGCAGAAAAAGCCCTACAACTCCCAGCATGTTCCAGCTAGCATGGCTGGCCCAACCTAGAAGTCATAGAGCTTTTTTCCTGTCTGAACATACATAGAACCTAAATTATTTTTATTAACCCACCTAATCACAAGGCCTAGATTTTCTTCACTGTTTAAAAGAAAATGATTATCTGCTTCCTAAAAAAGTCACTGTATAATGGCCTGTCTCTGTAAGTAGCTTGCACACTTTTACATATTAGTGACTTATTTCACTAATTTAACTACAACACTATTTAACTATCCCACCAGCTATAAATCATAAATAGGAAATTTATTTTTGCTTGTTTGTCAAGTTTAGATTGTTGTGACATCTGGACTTAAAACTGGCTTGCTTGATAGAAATATATCAGAGAAGAAACATACAACTCATAGTTAAAGCAACAAACATAAAGTTTACTGTTGCATCAGAAGACATAATCTTTGGAGGCAAAGTAATGACTGTTACAATGATGTTTGGAGCATGATTGACCAAGGTATGATGTAATGTCTGTAATGCTGCTAATTCTGAAAGGTTATGGAAGGCTGCTCCATGAATAGCTGAAAAATATAACTTTCCAAATAATAAAATGAGAAGTGTATATATATTGATATCTATAGATGGAAATGAAAAATAATTAGACAAGCAGTACATACGACTGACAGAAGGCAAGGCGCAGTATGAAGTGTGAAATATGATCTTTTCTTCTTGCCTCATGTTCCTCCTCAGCCAAAGCCTAATTATAAAAGAGAAGAAAATTTGGATAGCATCCCTATAACATATCATAGATACTAGCTGAAATCCAAAATTGCATGAGCAGAAGGCAAGCTTGCACAATGGATTTTTCCTTTGACCTCCAATGTTTGAATAATTTTGACATCATCTTTTTGCAGAAGACTTGGTGTCAGGCTATTTCTTTACTTGTAGGGTTCTGTTCCTTTGTTTGGTTCCCATGGAAGGATAGCAACTTTAATGTCAATTAAGTCCTACCTTCAGCAAACAGACTGGTCTGAGTTTATTCAGACAGTTGAGACAGCAAATATCTGGGGTCTATTCTTTGTATTAATGTTTACTTTCCTGAAGGTAGGAAATCTTTGGTTCCAGATTAGGTCTTTTCTGCACACTTTGCTGGAGAAAGCTTAGCAATTGCTGCCTGATACTGACATCATTGCTGGGAATTTTAATGCCAGGATATACCAAGATTCACCAAGATATACATAGTTTTATTTAAAAGGCACAGGCTAGCTTAGTCTTCGAGATATCTTCCTTGGATCTCTATGAACAAGGTGCTGAATAAACAACAGCTCTATATTCTGATTTCTGCTTCTGATCTGGGTTTTATAGTCTTCAGGGTACTGACTGTATAATTCACAGATTCTATCCTTTTAAATTCCTAATGATATCCTATATTGTCATACCAATATCAATATTTTTGTTTTCTTATCATTCTTTTCCCAAGTCCATTCATTTGAAATATATAATAGTTGAGAGAGTGACCACCTGCCCTGATCATAATCTTCTTCACTTGTATTATGCTGTTACCAGCACTATTTAGGAGATTCAGATAAACAATGCCTTAAATGGCATGGAGGTCTTAGTGAGAAGAGCATGAATCTGCTCCTTCCCAAGGAAATGTTAAAATGGAGGCATCTTGCAATACCATCCAACTTCTATATTTATGACATTTTTTACAATATCATTTGAGTTGAATTTCCACCTAATCAAAGTAGGTCCAGCATGGGGTGGGGTGGGGGGTCTTAATAAGGAATAGCTTGTTTGACCAGGAATGCAGGTTAAAGTGCCATGATTTATGAAAATTTCAGAATAGAGCCAGGGTAGATAGATCTGACTTCTCAATTCAATTTGATTCAGTTTTGCTCTCAATACATGTTTGACAGCTAAGAAACTCTCCTTTTATAAAGACCAATGAAGAGAATGGGGCCTTCATATAAAAGAATGCCAAAAAGTTCTGGGAACTGGTAGCTACTAGCACCAAACCATCTAATTTTATTCTTAACACAGTATTTCAGTGGAGACTTAGTTCAGCATTTTGTAGCCATCTACAATGATATTAAAAGGGAGTCATTTTCTAAATACTGAACTCCTAACCTAGATACTCCACCAGTGTGGCCTACAATCTCAGATTCAGCATTTAGATAGCTGATTGGCTCCCTGAACCGAGGAAAGGCCTGTGGGAAGGATATGGCATCATATGTGGTATTTAAGCTGTATGCTGATTGATGGTTTCCTATTTTTATAAAGTTGTATTGTCAATTGCAGAAGCCTTCGGTCATTCCTTCAAAATGGAAACAAATAATCATCTACCAATAATCATCTAAAAACTTTTTTTATCCAGAGTAATCAGGCAGGCTTTTGAAGGAGCCACAGTACAATAAAACCCCTTTTTAAATAGTTAGGTGCTTCATTCCAGAAATTTATATCCTGAAAAGTACATCATAATAGAACATTAACAATGTGCAGCTCATCATACCGTAGGGGTTATTTTGATTTTTTCTTTTATATGGGACACTAAGTAATAGTCATGGAGAGCCAGTGTGGCGTAGTGGGTAAGAGCGTGCAACTGGGCCTCAGGCAATTTGTGTTCTAGTCCCTGCTCACTCACGGAGCTAACTTGATAACTTTGGGCCAGTCACATACTCTTAGCCCAACTTACTTCACAAGGTAGTTGTTGGGAAGATTACATTGACAGGAGGCGGAAGAGAATGATGTAAGCTGTCTTGAGTTCTTTGTAAGAAAAAAGGAGGGATATAAATCAAATAAATAATAGCCCTTGCACTTTAAAAAATTAAGCTGCTACATGGGGTAAAAATCTGCAGTTGAAACCATTTTTTCTTGCCCAGGTGGAAATATTTCAAAATAAATCTTAAGGAAAATCTTGGGTCTCCTTTGGGACACCTCTGCCACCCACTTAAGAATGGAAACAGGGTTGGCCTCGATTTCCTTAAGGGTTCATCTGTCATTGCTAAAGTATTTTAAGAAAGGAGACAGTCTTCCAGAAAACAACTTAGCTATTTCCTGCTACTTTCATCAAAGCTGGCAATTGCAGGCAAAAATGTTTATACATCCATCAGCATCTACTTGGTGAGATGTCTGGTCCTCCAACCCCTTTCAGTTCTGATAGTCATGTCATACAATAGATTCTGAACAGCAGTAGATTCAGGAGCCCTAGCACATGTCAACTGATGTCAACAAGACATACCATGGCTTACGGGGCTTTGAACAGATCTAATATGAACTACATCAGGGGTAACTTTTCTCATGTTTTGGACTTCAACTCCCAGAAGCAGCTGTGAGCCTGGACAACGGTCAGGGATGCTTGGAGCTGAAGTCCAGAACAACTGGAGATCTACTCTCTGCTTTCCTCAAGCATATTTGACAGAAAACCCAATAGTTGACAGAATGTAACCATTTCTTAATCTTAGTCTGTCAGTACCCATCCAGTACCCATTCAACTCTACAAATGTTTGTTCTAGAGCTGTCACAACTACAAACTGAATGCAAGATTTATATTCAGAGTCAAAGGCATATTTTTCCATTTTACTTACATGAAAGGGAAATTTAAGATGCTTAAGTTCCAATTCCAGTTTCTGCTTGTAGTTAGGAGTACCTTTTACGTAACTCACACCAAGATTTTCAACTGTTTTGAGCACTGCAAAGAACAGGCAACAGCGTTGAAATGTGCTAGTGACAATCAAAGATATGTAGTCTGTGCAATGGATAGCAACTAATAATTAAAATTTTAAAAAAGATCATATTAATCTTACATTAAGGATTGTAATATGGAATCTACAATCATGAAAAGCATGAGAATAAATATAATTTCAAAGCACAGTTTTGCAGAATTACAGCATTCAGCACTCTGGAGAGCCACATAAAACATAATACGTTTCATTCTATTCTGTATTACTACTCACATTTAAGTCTGTCAACAGCAAAAGTTTCAAATTCTATTAGAGAGATATTCTCAGTAGGAGGTTCTGCATAGAAGTGAACACTAAGTGGATAAAGAACTTGGCTGGTGTTTGCCAACTTCAACTTCCTTCTACCTCTTCCAGAAAACTGCATTTTCTTCAAGTAAACCTATAAAGAGTCACAGCAAGAGTTTTGTAACTGAGTAATCACACAGTAGCAAAATAATATGCAACTTCAGAACCTAAATTCATCCCAAGGATATATTAAAAACAGATGACATTATTCAAAGCCAAAATCTCCTGCTAAATTTGGAAGAATTTCAAAATTCAACTGTATTAGTTGTGCGTTTGACCCTCTTTCTTCACAAAGCCTGCCCTCCACCGGGTTCAAAGCACAAGTCGCACAGTTACAGAAAACAGTCTCCAGATACATTGCTCTTCCACGAACAGTGACACGGGTTCACTCTTCCTACAAAAGGGGAAACCCCCTGAACATAAGCCAGATATAAATCTAGTAGATAAATAAATAAGAAATCCCTTCTTCCCTGCATCCATGAATCCCATTTCCTGAAAGCCACTCACCCCGCAGGCTCCTCTGACCAGCCGCCTCCTGCAATCGCGTCTGGCACCACCAGCAGCCGCTCCCAATTTCCCGCGCAAAAAGAGCAGCCGCCCCGCCCCTGCCCTGTGACGTCTTTTTTCCGGGTTCGAGGCTCGTTTAGATTCGGATCAAGCCGACCCTTCCCGCCAGCTTCCGTGGTTACCATGACAACGCCCCTGCCTTTCTCCCTTTACTTCCCGGGCCAGTTATCGGAGGGGGCGGGAAAACGAGAGAAACAGCGAATGATGAAAACGCGCGAGGACGGAAGTCGGAGGGCCTTCAGAGCGAGACACTGCTTCCTCTATGGTGACAGCCGATCTTGAGCTCGGACCGCGGCTCAGCCTGTGAATACCATAGAGATAAGGGGGAGGTAAGAGCTGAGGGCAACCTTCACTTCCTACTTCCGTTTGAACGCCGTCCTATGAGGGGAAAAGAGCTTAATCGTAGACGTAAAGAAGGAAAGGTTTACACAGCGCATTTCCCCCTCCGCTTACTTTTTTTCAGGATTCCTTTTTTCCGCTCGCATGGCGTAATTGTGACAAAACATCAGTTTTCCTCCTCCATGGTGTTGAATAACAGCTCCCAGCATCTCCCACCCAGATCTTGTGAATTGTAATCCTATATATCTGGCGAGTACCACGTTGGGAAAAGTTGATACGGAGCCACCGAGAGGAGCACTGTTTTGACAAAATGTGTTAAATGTGATTTTAATATTAATAATTTAGAGGGATTTTAATATCTATATGTAAATCAATTAGGGATTATAAGCATCTAGAGGTTAGAAACTTCACAAGTAAGAGATTGGCAGTAGGACTTAACAGGGACATAGTTTCGTCTCCAACCCCTGACGGGGCAGGGCAAGCAAAGGTGGCGTCTTCACTTCTTTCGAGCTGTATGCCGCTAATTATATGCTTCCGCGTTCGTGTTTCAGCATTGAAAAAGCTGTGCTGAAGTACAAATGTTGTTTTGCGCTGTCGAGTAGTCTCCGATTTAGGGCGACCCTGTGATTCCGCCCTCCAGAATGTCCTCTCCATGCAGCCCCGCACAGCTCTTCTAAATTGAAGGCTGTGGCTTCCTTTATGGAGTCAATCCATCTCATAGTTGGTCGTCGCTTTCGTCTTCTGCCTTCGCCTTTCTCTAGCATGATTGTCTTCTCTAGGGAAACTTGCCTTCTCATGATAGATCCAAAGTATGGCAGTCTCAGTTTTCTCATTTTTCCTTCTTGAGGAATACAAATACCCGTCCATAATTACCGCCCTTCCACTGAAGGCACAGGTGGGATGCTCTGCCTGGGGCTGCCTTGCATGAGAACAGAGGGTGGCCAGAGCATCTGCCCTGAACGCTCTTCCAGCAAGATTTAAAAATCAAAGTTGTGGGCAGTGTACTCTCTCATAGGATGCCAGGCTGTGAGGTCTTCAGTCCATTGCATTGTTGAGGGAGATGTTTTCTCTTTGTATCCCCATGAGGCCCTTAACCTCATACTATCCTCTGGCCCTTGCATAGTCCACTTGTGGAGGCCAGAGGATAACTTTTAGGATGTGGGAGTGCAATTAAGCAGTACATTGACATCTTTAAATAATAATAGCATACTTAGGAAAAAGTTGCAACCTATTTACTGATGTGGAACAGGAACTGTGTGTATGTGAAAGATCTATAGACGGCTTTTGTGTGTTTTTATTTTGTTTTTCCTTTTTTTCTGTCTATTCTTGTTTTGTATTCTCAGCAGTTTTTCACAGATGTTTGTTTTTGTTGGAAAATTGTAAAAATCAAATAAATTATATAGATAGATAGATTTAAAACTCAAAGCCATCCGGTATTGCCTTCCTTTACTTCCTACAGGAGAGAAGAGGGAAGTACACAGTGTTTTTTAGTTTTTAATTATCATATTGCCCCCTAGTGGTGTCTCCTTGAAACCTTCTGTGATTTTTTAAAAAGCAGCATAGATTAACTTTTGGATTGCACAAAATATCGTAATTGAGCTGAGCTAATTTTTCAGCTTTCTGCGAATTACAGTAGAAGAAAGTAACAGTAACAAAGTCTCAGGATTCAGATTTGAAAGGAGAAAAACTGCTTATAAAGGGCAAAAATTTAACTATCAATATTAGAATCCAAGAACTGATATTATCACTCTGCCACTCTTCTTTGAGAAGTTATTATCCAAATCACTACCTACAATAACATAAGAACTTATAATTGGCAATATTAGGTTTAAATTATGTGCTGTGAGCAACACTGATAATTCAGAATACTGACTCCCCTGATCATTCATAATACTGATTTCCCACTGGAAGCTGCAAATATGTGACAATGATTTTTCATGTTAGTAATCTTCAGAGATATAAAAATTAAAATGATCTGGAGTTAGCAATTAATATGCTAAATCATAGATAACAAATGCTCAAAGACGAAAAAGAGAACATACTATCTGACCAGGATAAAATGCAGGTGGACACAATATACAGCAGAGATGAAAGGATGACAAACTCCTTTGAAGAGGAATCCTATAAAGAAGAACTTGCTCTTCTGAAAGCTCTCACAAGGAATGAAGCACCTGAAGTAGTTAGGGTTCCAACAGAAGTAAACAATGGCCCATAGACTATAAATGCTCAATATGCATTCCAGTCCCCAAGAAAGAAGATGCTGAGGATTGCAGCAACTATACAGCCATTGCACTAATTTCCCATGTAGTCAAAGTGATGCTGAAGGTGTTGCTACAAAGAATTTTTATGAATGAGAATTGAATGAGAAATGCCTGATGTTAAAGCTGAATTTCAAAAGAAGAGGGGACATTTGAGATTATAGTCTGGAGTGTGTATAAAATTAATATTGACTGAATGCCAAGCACTGCAAAGACAGGCTCCCACAGGATGTGGGATGTGTTGGGTAAGTGACGTGATGACTTGGGCTAGCCAATGTGAATGGGATAAAGAATGAATGATGGAATTCTTGCAGATAAACAGTCCAGCATAAGCTAAAGCGATTTCCCCTTAAAGTAAGCATGGTCTCATTCTCACTGTATATCACGGCTACATGGGGTGTGTGGCCTTAGCCTAAGTAAAGGCAGGGACCTGAGTTTGTTCAACTCCAGAATCTATTGGTCTTAGCTGGCGGGCCCACTGCTCAGGGATGGTGGGAGCTGTAGTCTAGCAACATCTGGAGGGCCACAGATTTCCCCACCTCTGTTTTAAAAGAGGGAGGGTGGCTCTGCAAGAAATAAGGGTGGCTATAAGAAGAAGGGCCTTAATGGCAGTGGCATCTCAACTCTGGAATCAGCTCCCCGAAGAGGATCACCTGGTGCCTTCCCTTTATTCTTTTCAGTGCCTGACAAAGACCTTTTTATTAACCCAGTATTTTAATTAAGATAATTTTAAGGTTTTATAATATTTTACATATTATGTCTTGTTGTGCTTTTTAGTGCATCTTTATTGGCAAAGACTTGAGCTCATTGTGAAGTTTCATAGCAGCATTTGACTTTTCAGATTTTACTGTTGTGTTGTTTGATAATTTAATATTATTTGTTTTATTATGTACATTGTAAATCTCATAAATCCTGTAAACCCCCCACCCAGAGCCTTTCTGGCTAGTAGGGCAGAGTATAAATCAAATAAATAAACAGCAGAAGTGTAAGAAAGAATGCGAACTTTCCCATTTCAGTAGAAACAAGTTCATGGAAAATAGCATAAGAACCAAGGACTAAGAAAATTGAAGTGGGTAGGCTCTGAACACAGACCTGGCACCCATCCTGGTTCATGGGCTACTTGTACCCACCCCTCCTGCCTAAACAAGAGACTGCTGTTGAGAGGTGACTGCACAGGGCAACCAACAGATAGGTAATAGCCTTGGACACCCTCTGTTCCTGTTAGCTTCTTTCTGTCTACAAGACTGTTATGCAGAAGACTTTTTACCTCCTCAGAAATACGGAATCACATTAGGATGCAACATGAATATTTGCTGCCTCGACAACATTGGGTTAAGAGTTTCTCCCTGCTGTACATTTTCTTTTGAATAAAATTTTCTTTGCTTTCTAGGTGTGTTGTGTGTCTATCTGAATGTAATGCTAGGGCGAATTCCTTTCTGCCAGCATGCATTAAACCCCAGCAAAAGATCCTAAACCTTTCAAGGTACAGTGTCTAGAGGGCAAGCTCCTCCTTTTGATGTGTATTGTTCCCCAAGATTATCTGAGCAAAGCAATCTCACAAATACATTGGCTATTGGAGCGCACCAAATAATTTCTAAAGAAGATCAATCTGTGATTTCCAAACTACAGCAAGGCCTTAGCTGTGTGGATCATGAGAAGCTGTGGGTTGTTCTAGGAGAAATGGATGTGCTACAGCACTTGCTTGTCCTGATGGGAGCATGGTTTTCTATAGGTAATGTCTCCAGGCAAGGGTGTATTTTATCTCCCTGCTTGTTCAATCTGTATGCAGAACATATCCAGGAAAGCTGGATTGGGACTGGAGGAAGTAGGATTGAACACTGGTGGAAAATATTAAGATGATACCATATTACTGGCAAAAACCAGCAATGAAGTGAAATGACTCTTGCTGTAAGTGAAAGTAGAGTAAAAGGATTGCAACTGAACATCAAGAAAACAAAAATCATAACTGCAGAAGAATTACAGAACTTTAATGTCAACAATGATGAAATAGAAATTGTGAAAGCTTCTGTGTTGGTGTCGTTGTTAGTCACAAAGTCATGTCCGAGCTATTACAACCCCATGGACAACATTCCTCCAGGCCTTCCTGTCCTCCATCATCCCCCGGAGTCCACTTAAGCTCACACCAACTGCTTCAGTGACTCCATCTAGCCACCTCATTCTCTGCCATCCCCTTCTTTTGCCATCTATTGTTCCCAGCATTAGGCTCTTCTCCAGGGAGTCCTTCCTTCTCATTAGGTGGCCAAAGTATTTGAGTTTCATCTTCAGTATCTGGCCTTCTAAAGAGCAGTTAAGGTTGATCTCCTCTAGGACTGACTGGTTTGATCGCCTTGCGGTCCAGGGGACTCGCAGGAGTCTCCTCCAGCACCACAATTCAAAGGCCTCAATTTTTCGGCGCTCAGCTTTCCTTATGGTCCAACTATCATAGTCATATATTGCAACTGGGAAAACCATAGCCTTGACTATATGCACTTTTGTTGGCAGGGTGATGTCTCTGCTTTTTAGTATGCTGTCTAGATTTGCCATAGCTTTCCTCCCCAGGAGCAAGCATCTTTTAATTTCTTGGC